TCTTATTCGACGTGTCTATACCTCTTACTCTTTAGTCATTCCTCATACCCTCATTTTCTTGCGAAAATATACAAGCATTATCATTTTGTCTCGTAACCCTTATCTACAATTTAGAGACTTAGTTTAATTTGATTTTTGCGTCGTTTCTGGTCTAGCTAGAAGATTATCAAGTCTGTTGTACTTTGAAATAAATGAGAAACAACGCAAAAATAGGATTAAACAAGGTCCAGAAGTGGCGAGGGACAAAATGAGAATATCAGTAACCTTCACTATAAAATCAGTTGATGAAAAAACTAAGAATGAAGAAAGTTCTGAAATTGAAATCGCTATTTAAAAGGATCGTCCGTCCAGCAAGCGCCTTTGGAAAAAAAAGTAGACTTATGTAAAGTTGGATAAAAAGAGAAGCCACCGGTTACCACCCAAACAGCCTACATACAAAATGTATTCAGAAGCATATATAAACTTGCCGGCATGCAAAGCTATATGTACTTTAGTAAGTAAATAAAGATGACGACCAGAATTGCGTCACATCGAGACTGTCGAAAATCCCATTCTTGGCTTAGCTCTATAGTGGGTTAGAATAATTAAAGAGTTCATAAGAAGCGGATTGCACAAATGACATGATCATTAACACCAAATTTACGGTCAGTAGTTTGAGGTAAACAGTTGAAAAAATATTGAGTGATGAGAATGTAACAGGTATAACAAAGGAAAATCAAGTTAGAACAAATCATGTCGTAAGAAAATCCGGCAAGTCTAAGCACAAGAAATCATCCAAAAATAATATTATCTCGTGGCATGTGAATGAGGAAGTGTAAAACCAGCGCAGAGAGAATATTAAATATCGGCCAGCATTGAAACATCTGAGTAGGGAATTTGTTATGTACAAACAGATAATAAAATTGGCTCTCATACACATTGAGTAGAAAGCGTATTTATGATGCCTGATTAAAAACAGTAGTGTTAGCGATGAGTCAATTAGTATAATGTGATTCTAAGAATGGCGAGTTAAAGACGGGACAAGAGGGCGCTGCTTAGTTAATTCACAAACCGAGATAAAAAAACTAAATCGATCCCTAATAAATAGATAAATATAAATGCGTAGGTATGCAAAGAAGCCGTAATGAAATAGCTCCAGATGTAAAGCCAAGCCTAATCCTAACCAATAATATGCAGGACAGTGAGAAGACAAGCAATCAGATTTGTATAAACGATAGAAAAGATAGTCGGAAAACTAATAAGTGAAGATGGTCAATATTGTGAGACACTGAAGGGGTGCAGAAAGAGTATGAAAATGAGATGACACAAGAGAATGAGGGAATTGAGGGAAGCAAGCGAGAAAGGATAGGGCAAGTGGGATTAAAGTGGTAAAAAATAAAAGATAACGGCTCATGAGCGTGAGGGAAATTTAGAGCTTAGTGACTCAAATAAGACTCTGGATAAAAATCAGAAAAATTTGCAGCGGCCTCTGTTACTGCTACTTTTTGGAGGGCTCAAGGAGATTGCTGCGTCTAATCGGCCTTTTGCTGATCTGAAAGATGGCGTAGAAGAACATGCAGTCCGGGAGAAGATTGACGCGAGGCCATTTGGTTAGCCATGTGCTGGGCCTGAGGTTGCGGTGGTATTGGTAAACTGCCTTGATGCTGATGATTATGTTGTTGGTGGTGACGATGCTGCTGTTGGTGTTGCGGAAGATGTGGGGCATTCGAATGAGCATGAACATGAGAATGCGAGTGTACAGGAATGTGAGCAATCGCAGCCGCTTGCGAGGCAGGTGACGATAGCGAGGCAGAATGGAGACAACCAATCAATGGGGGTTGGGGCTGGAGAGGAGATAGGGAATCCGAATGTAAACCACCAACTAGAGGTGGTGATGGAGATGAGGGTGGCGGCGGAGGAGCGTGACCGCCAGACGAAGGACTTGGCTGATTGCTGGCGCAGTCACAGGCCGGCCGGATAATCACTCCAGAGGATGTAACGGCAAAAGAGAGCTGTTGTTGCTGTACTTGTTGTTGTGCCGGAGGCAACGTAGCTGCTGCCTGCAAAGTAGATGAGCAAACAGGTCCAGGTTGCATACTGAGGCCATCGTCGAAGCCGTCATCACGCTCCTCTTGACTAGTTGTGGGTCGGACAAAATCCCAGATCAGAATATTGTCGTCGTGTGATGATGAGACTATTTGAAAGTCGTCAAACTGCAAGCGGAAGACGCGTCCCGTATGTTGTTGCAAGGTGCAAATGCAGAGCTGTGAAGGCTTGGAGCGAGGATCGAGGGCAGCTTTCAAGTTCCAAACCTTGATTTTGCTACAATAGAATACAGGCGAACAGATACCTGAGAACGGCGCGAACGGAGCATAGTGAAACAATTGATGTATTTGGAATGCATCAAAGTTAGATGAAATGAGGATCTCATTATAATCCATGAAAAGTTCCTATTAAAATATGAAGATTTAAAACTCCAAAACAATTATATTTTCAATCAATTGATGAAAATTTCTCAAGTAGTCTCAAAAGTTGCGTCAATAAAACACCGTTCAAAAATGCTTATGGTAGAGAGGAAACCTGGAGGTGAGATTAAAATTTTAAGTATTATGTCTTGGTAATTAAATATCGATGGATAAACTACTCGAAGTATTTCAGATATACGGGCGTGTAATATTTTTTGTGTAACAAGAAAAACAAAGAATATTGAATGATATATCAAGAGAGGAGAATAATAACAGGGAAGATAGAATGATAATACTATAAGAAAAATAATATAATATAGATTAATATTAATTAATTAAGATTTATATAATGGTCAGCTTGCTATTGAAGATAATTTCAAATAATATATGATGGAACGTATTTATAAAAAGGGAGTATGTATGATGTGAGATAAGTAGCTAATGGTTAATCTAACTTAGTAGTAGATATGAAGACCAGAGTCATGTGACCACTGTCTTGGTCGCAGTCTCCTTTCGATAGATAGAAGTGGTCTGATCTCGTTTTCGTGTTGTCAGGGCGACCTAATCGGATGCAACTTGTATGCTATAGTAATCATGATAATTCCCAGCGTTGGAAAGTGGACTTGGTACATTCCCTCTGGACAAAGATAAATGTAAGTCAATCATACCATCTGACTTTCTGCTTATGTATCAAGCGCACGGTCAAACGCTGGGAATTATCGTAACTACTATAACAGAGGACTTCGGACAAGGTGCGTCCAACTAGGCCGCCCTGAAAACATGATCGAGTTACGAAAACAAGGTCAGACAACTTATAATCTAAGATTTACGATTGAGTCAAGTAACTATATAAATTCCAATCTATTCGCACAAAAAGTTTGCATACTCCAAGATTTCTGTTGGAGTCTAATTCGAAAATAAAGCCTTTTAAACAGTTACCCAACAAAGAAAATAGCACTCGGAGGTCAGCAGTACATATAAAATACATCGAAAATAGTATAAAAGTCCGTGTAATGAGAGGCGCGAATTCAGTTATATATGGTCGTCTGCTCTATTGAAGGAAAAATTCTTTAAAACGACTCCTGGTAGGGAGATAAGATTCTATATTTAATAGATGGCGAAGCCGGTTCAATCTACCCAATTAGATTTTCATATTCCATGCCAAACGTGAATACAAAATATTAGATATTATGGAATTATAACAGTAAATTCCGATGAGTTTGCGTGATATTTATAGCGAAAAATAATTTCCAATAAAAGTAGCTCCTGACACCATGATGAATTTTCGAAGACGAGACCAGTCCAACCATAAGGACTAAGTAGTTAGTGCTTCAAAAGTTTGGAAGTAGTTTACTCCTAGAGGCATCCGTTTTTCAAC